TTGTTTTTTTCTCCCCCCCCCCCCCCCCAAAATGCATCACTTGTTGCTTTCAAAAAGTTGACAGAAATACATAGATTTTGAGGTGGAATTAGTCATTTTTAGTGGCACTGAGGTGATGTTGAGAGGCCTGAAGAAGGTACCATGATACCTGAAAGTTTGCCAGTTATTGGACCAACTGCATAGTTGGGATAGACAAAGATATCACCCACAAGAATTCTTGCTTCTCTTTAATAATGCTTATACCTTTTTATTGAAGAAGGGCTAAACATCGGATGGTTTTTGATACCAGGAAGAGAATGAAAAATCTCTTCCTTGATGAAAATCAGGTGTCCTTATGAAAAAACTTAAATATTTATTTACTAAAGGCATTTGTAAAATGTCCTTAACGAGACTATGGTGCATCATACGTGTCTCAGACTAAGCTCAGAAAACCCCCCAAGTGTAGGGTTGAGCACTTAACTCCCACAGAGCAAGTAAGGATGGAGGCAAGTGGAGACGGAGCTAGCACTTGGACAGGAAGCATGACCCAAACAACAGGGCACTAGACCAAGACTGAGGAAACCCGTTTGGCTCTGGCTGCTCTTGACTTGCTTGGTGGTTGCGGGTATGTGAGTGACGTCTTTGGCTCATTTTTCCCAAGCAGTAATTTAAGGACAGTGCTAGTTTTCCTGCTTTAATAAAACGGATTTGGAAATCTGTTGGTAAAAATCATGAGAAACATGTTCAGGATTTATTATGGCAAAGAATCATCTGTGGGGTCCAACTTAAAGAGGGTTAAAAGTAGTGACTGTCTGTGTGAGTGAAGGGGCAAAGTGGCGTGTTTGTTAGATCCCAGTACCTCCCCACTGGAGGATCCTTGTAGGCTCTAGGGATAGCTCCTCTGAGCGGTGCAGCTGGAGCATCTGTGCTCACTGTCTCACTTGGCCTGTATAAATTGTGCGGTTGAACCCCTGGAGGTTGAAGAGATCATCTTCAGGTCTTGCAGCAGGGCCTTCTCCCTTGAAACAATTTCCATTTGTAAGAACTTAAAAACTTTCCTTTCCCCTTTCCTTTCTCTCCTTCAAATGTAGTTGAAAAATGGGATTTATTTGTTGGCACCCTGAAGAAAGCTTTTGCTGACTACCATTTTTGGGGGGTAATTGTAGTGTAGCCACGTTGTTGGCTGCCACCAGTATTTTAGACCTCTCTTCTAATCCTGTACACAGCAGGATATATGAAAACAGACTGCATTTGGGTCTGTCCAGCCCTGTTGCTCTCAAAATTGTTAGCACTGGTGAAGCTGAAATGGGGTTGGTCTAATAAAAGATATCAAATATGCTCAAAGAACTTTGTCTGCTGAAATGGGGTAGCACTTCTAATACCGACGGGACATCTATTTGAGATGTAATGGTCTACAGTCCCGCCTTCATGTGCTTGGCTTGTACTTTTTTTATGTATCACATTACACCCGAACAGACTGGTGGGAGTTATTGGGCATTTATTTCCAGGGAAAAATTTGGCCTTTCATAAATGTACCCTTTTGATTAGTGTAGGCAACAGGCGCCATCCCCGCATTTTGGAGGTCAATAGAACTTGCATAAAAATACATTCTTACATATATAAGTGAAATGGTGGTTTTACCACTGGAACACGTTTTGGGGAAGAAAACTTCAAAACGAAGGAGAGATCCTTGGCCAGTGCTTTTGTCTGTTCTTTCTGAGGCTGTTGCAGGTGTTACTTGAACATGTTGCAGTAGGGCCTGGGGGCCCTTCTTGCTACGCACAGACACACCTACGGGCAGAGCCGCACCTCTAAAGAGTGAACTCAGAATCCGTTTTCAGCGTGACCGTGTGCATTTGGCAGCAGTGTGTGTGTATGGTCGTAATTCTGATTTTCACAAACTCTGTTGCAATGCAAGTGAGCGTGATGTGATAAATTCAGCGTTATGGCGTCACTTTGTGATCATCAGGACAAGATGGGGCTTGCAGGAGCAAGTGGTGGGCTATACTGCTATTGGGACTATCAGAAGAAGCAATTTGTGTTTAAACAGCAGACATGGGAAGAAACTGTAGCAAGTTGACTGATCGTTTTGAAAGCCCCTTTTTAAGTGATGCAGTTATACTGGCAGCAAAGGCTTTCAGCTCTTGTTTCCTCAGACATTTTTGGTTTTTACATATGGCAGTCATGCAAAAGTCATGCCCTCTTGATATTTCATATGTAAATGTAATACAAGCTATTCTGTTTTACCCTGTAATTTATTCCATTTATACGTGGAATTTGATACGAATTTAACTTTGGGGGCTCTGAGGCTTTTTAATTTTCTTCTTTATTTCCAGAAAGTGTTGTCTGTTTAAAATTAGACCTTGAGTATGTGATTACATAACTTGGGAGACACACTGGTATCCTGGAACTTTAAAATGAAAAGAATACTAATATTTAATATTGCTTAGTGCTTATGTAGTAGCTTTGTCTGCCTTTAAAATACTGTATAAATAAAGGAACACTGTCAGCCTTTAAAATGTTTCAGCCTAAAGTGTGATTTTTTTTTTTTCCCCTCCCCCCCATTATTGTATCAACCAGCTCATAAGTTTGCTTTTCCTCCTGTGATCTTTAACTTACAATCATCTCTTTTTTTTTCAGTTTTTACTTTTCACCCAGAGGTAGGACTTGATATACCACTAGTTTCACTC